TTTCTGGCAGTTTTACAAGTATTAACTTTAGTGCCTTGTCCTCAATGATGATGGAACCTGGAAGGGTCCTGTAAGATCACAAAGATGGTTTTTCTCAGGTAATAGAGTGAGAAAGTAGGTCACCCATAACAAGAGATTTCAATCTATCAATGCCACTTTAGCTACCATGGGGTATGGTAGGGTATGGCATCACATCCTTTTCCTCTAATACCTGCAGATTGTTAACAAAACTGCTGCTCATCTGTTTGGGGACTGTAGTTCAGGGATGAAGGAACTATCCCCAAATAGTGTTCATCCAACACGAGTCCAACAACTTGATCTTGCACCACAGCTAAAAATTTTTACAGGAGGTGCTCTGCCCCAGTAATTTGGCTTGGAAGAATTACAGCTGTGTCTAAGGAGTCTACACAGAGATATATTCATAGATCTGATGTGGATAATGCTGCCACAGCTCCTAGGAAAGAAGACTGAATCTTATAAATGCGAGAGGTTAGATTTGGTCTCTCCTACTTTGACAGCTGTTGCACAGTTTCAAAATTCAGCAGTGTTGTGGTGTTGCTCAGCTCATACTGAGAGCAGAACTTCCTGACTTTGTTGGGATAAAAAAAAAAGTTACTGAAAGAGGGTAAAAAAATTAATATCCACAGAAAGATGTAGCATGCTGTTCCCTCCAGAACCCCTCTAACATTTTCTGGACCAATACTGAAGTCTGTCCTGTTCATGTGTTCAATTCTTAGACAGTCTGTCATATCAGCCATGATATAAAGCTATTTGGTTTTATTTATTGTTTGCATCCTCAGCTATTCAGTTTGGTTAGTTTCTGCTTAGCAGTTTCCACATTTATCCCACAAATGTAATCAAAAACAATACTGGTCAATCTACTCCAGATATAACCATCAATGGAATGGCTATAGCATCTATCTCCTATGAACAGAAGCACAAAAACCTTTAAGAATGTTTTGTGATTATTTTTTTAAAAACAAACACAGGCATGATTAACAGCACGTTTTCCAACACCTGACATTTTAACTTCAGATGCCCAGCAGCTGGGAGGTGTTACAGCAGTTTGTAACTGAGAATATCTGGGCTATAAAATACAGGAGCTGGAGCACAGTGAGCACAGTCTCTTCTGCTCTTCAAACCATACAAAAATAGCATAGAATGGTTTAGGTTGGAAAAGACCTTTAAGACCATCGAGTGCAACGGCCTTTCATAAAGTCAGGGTGGCTGTGCCTGATCACCTGCTTGTCCTGTACATGCTGTGAGCACAGAAATGGTTTCTCCCCAGATACAGCGAAGTGCTCAGCGCAGCCATGAGGTGTCAGTACTGACCACGGTTTCTGTGCAAACCGCCACAAAGCCGAACAGATCTCCCAAGTGAGAGCGCTCACACTGTGATCGCTACCAGCGCAAACGCCGAAGTGAGATGGGACCCAGCAGCAGGTACTGCTCCTGTGAATACGCATCCAAAGATTAGATGTGACAGTGACAGCTGCCGAAAGCCCTGGCAAAAAGGTAGGGGAAAGTTTTAGAGCCTGGTTAGGGTTAAAGCTGATGTGCAAAACAGAAGAGAGGGCCGTTGCAGTAAAACAGCACTACAATGTTTTAGTAAAAGCAAAATAATCTAATTTTTGTAACTTAACTAGAATGCAATCCAGTGGTTAAATACCTGTAGCTGAAACCAGGGATAGCTAAAATTCTGGGGTAGAACCTGCAGCCCACGGGAAGAACTCATATTGCAGAAATTCATGGAGGACTGGCTCCTGTGGGAGGGACCCCACGCTGGAGCAGGGGAAGGGTGTGAGGAGTTCACCCCATGAGGAGGAAGATGCTTCAGAAATAACCTGACTGCACCCCCTTTTCCTGTCCCCCTGTGCCATTCAGAGGGCAGGAGGCAGAGAAATCAGGAGTAAAGTTAAGCCTGGGAAGAAGGGAGGGGTGAGGGTAAGGTGTCTTCAAGACTCGGTTTTATTTCTCAGTCTCCTACTCTAACTGGTAATAAATTAAACTCATTTCCCCAAGTTGAGTCTGTTTTGCCTGTGACAGTGGTTGGTGAGTGACGTCTCCCTGCCCTTATCTTGTGCCTTTTGGTAGATTTTCTCTCCCCCTGTGCTGAGGGAGAGAGGTGACGGAATGACTTGGATGGGCACCTGACATCCAGCCAGGATCAACCCACCACACAGGTCTACTGGCTTTGGATCAGTGGTCAGCAAATTCATGGAGCTTTTTTAATTGTCCAGTGATGTCCCCTTGGTCACCAGAGGTGGGTATACAGAGACATTCAAGCTGCTCTGCAGGAGCCAAGGTGGGGAACAGCACAGTTTCAGACTGAATCCTTGTGGCTTCATGTCTACATAATATTCAGCAGCATGTCCTCTAAATGTTTTGTATATCTGCACCTTTTTCATGTTCATGGATTCCCCTGACCTCTCCTATCCTTGTCTGTCACCTCCCGAGGAAGCCTTTAAATAACTGATGGGTACTGGCCAGCAGCTCTGTGCCTTTACCCCTCAAACAGTACTGCTCTGCTCAGTACATCTGTTTTTCTTCACTTGAAATGTGACCAATTACCAATGAGTTTGCAATTCACCACAAAGTAATGGGAACACTCAGTGTCCTCATCTCAGTAATGTATTTTGGGGAAAACACAGCAAAGAACTGGGTATTAAATAAACATTAGTTTCAGTAAGAGGAAGAAGCTTATAAGGTAATTTGTCTCAAATTACGTAAAAATCCTTTCTAGGATGTTTTCTCTTCCTAGCATAATTTTTCAAAATGTTCAGTGCTAATTTGTCTGTTCCAAACAGTCTTTTGTTCTTTGTATTCAGAAGGAATTTCAGAGAAATTCTGGGGTTATGCAAACATTCAGGAGCAGAAGATACTCTTTATTACCATTGTGCCAGATATTGCAGGAAGCCAGAATGAGAAATTTAGGAGAGCCATGGAAATGACAATTGCTCTAATTCAATAACAGATTCATTGGCTTTCTAATTAGATTTGATCACTTGAGTATTTTATATTGTAGCTGTGCAAGTACCTTTTAAATACCTACCACATGTGACACAGGCACTTCAAAATAATCATAAAAACAGTAGCTCTGCAGAAAAAGTTAGGGAAAAACATAAAACCTAGTTCTTCCATGTCTTGATAAATAACTCCCAGCTCTGAGATGTCATTTTATTTAATTTTACAACATTCAAAACCACTTTAAAATAACATCTGTAATAAATATTCAAAAAATAACTCAGATTATATTTTGCTGTTACACTTACAGTAATGTCTGAGTAACATCATACAAATTGTATTATAAATAGCTTCACCAGCAACAAAACACAGAATCACATTTTACATAATTCACTTAAGCACATGGAATTTTTACTACAAAGGATTTGTTTTTCTTACTCTTCTTCTAGAGCCGATTTGGTATGCATTAACTTGTAAAATCACTCAATAACATGTTCCTAACATAAGGCAACATGGAAAATACCTGAAAACCAATATCAGAGCAAGTGAGAATTACAAAATTGGACTGGCTAACCACAGAATTTCTACTACTTAGTCCGTTCAGGATTTCTAGTCTTACTTCAGTCTGACAACAAGCAACTGCCAACTCAGGCTGGGATTCAGAAACTCTGGTTTCACATGACCTTGGACAGATCTTCTGGCTCAGCTCTCCATTCACAGCATGGTAATAATAATGTTCCCTTCTGTCTTCAAAGACTGGAAGCTCCCAGAAGCTCCCTGCCACTATTTTTCATGAAGGAATTGGTACTCTGGGACTAAAAGCTGAGCTCAGTAAGAGTGAATGTGCAATCTTTAACGTGGGACACACTGATAAAATTGTCCTGATATATAACAGAGGTAGGTGAATGCCCTTTGCACTACTGGAGGATGTACAAGGGACTTGCCCAATGACAGAGTGTGCCTGACACAGCTCCTGAGTCACAGTCCTGAACTGCAGTGTGCTGAGGCCCTCCAGAAATACATGACCTCACAGAAAGGGAGGGAAGCTGTTAACACATTCATGTCTTTATTCAAAGCCACAGCAGTCAGGTGGAAATTTCTTGAGTAACTTAAATTCTTTTAAGTGCTACTACCTAGAGGAAAAACTAGATTGCTTTGGCACCTAGGATGAAATTCATGTGTCCTGTGTGTTCACTTTATTCAGCAGCTTGCAGCACAAGACAAACATATTCTAGCACAAAGCACGTGCACAAACTTCATGAAAAGGAAGCATCATCAAAAATGCAAAATAAAAACTGGGAAATGCATCAGACACATCCTTGGCATTACAGAATTGAAAATGCAGCTAGTGACAGGCTGAAAGAGATAAGTATGTAGCCTGAGCATCTAAAGTAGATTGGGGCTGGCTACAGTAGTTAGTTAAAACATCTGGGAAAGCAGCTATATCTTTCTCTTGCAGTACACTCACCACTGCAAGGACTTTACCATCACAGTCACTACCATCTGCTGGATTACAGAATTATGAAACGGTATGGGTTGGAAAGGAGTTCAAACATCATCTAGTTCCAACCACCAGGCTCTTGTCCAAAGTCCCTTTCTTCTTGTATCCCACTTTAGGTACTGGAAGGGGCTCTAAGGTCTCCCCAGAGCCTTCTCTGCTCCAGGCTGAACACTCCCAGCTCTCTCAGTCCATTTCCATACCAGAAGGGCTCCAGCCCTTAGAGCATCTTTGTGGCCTCCTCTGGACTCACTGCAGCAGGTCCATGTCCTTCTTAAGAGTCTCAGAGGAGAAACCAAAAGCTGAACTGCAAAGTACTCTGAGGCACTTTGCTTAGACAGCAAAAAAGATAAAAGAAAGCAAGAAATCAGCCTTGTTCCAAGCAGTGAATGGAGATGTCTTATGAGCTGCCAGCTGAAATTAGTCTGAAACCACTAACACTGCAATGTACTTTCTTCTAAAGTCACAAGGGTGTCCTTATTGACAGCACCTGCAATGTTTTACTGATTTATGAGAATCTTTGTGTTTTATAGCCAACTGTGAGGGAAAAGGTTTACAGTAGTGGACAAGGTACTCAGCCTTCCACTTTTATACACCCCCAGTGACCAGCTGGACCGAGCAATCCAGACTGTCAGGCTCTTCAGGGTTCTGTTGTTGCAGGGATACCTGTTGTTCATAATGTCTGCTCACGTTGCCGTTTCAGACCCACAACTCTTGCTGCCAGGAGGAACACGGCCCCAGTGAGCACTTCTGCGACAAAGGAGATCCAGACCAGGGCAAGGGACCAGCCAAACCTGATATCGATTTCCACCAGGAGGTCCTTGCTCCTCAGGAGGCAGACAGCTTCTTCAAAGGCAGCAGCTGAATATGCAATATAGACACTGATCCCAGTAAGTGTGACCAGAGCTGAGAGAGAGAGACATACTCAGCTGGTTAAATCAAAATCAATCAATTGGATATGGCTTAGGGCTTCTTTGCCACTCCTTCCTATCCCACCCAGACCAGACTCCCAGTTTATCTTTGATATCTATTTGAGGTTGGTTTTCCGTCCATTGAGTATAATGTGTTCCCACTGTTAAATACTGAATCAAAATGTCTAACATCAAGCCTGCCACAATAAAAATTGAGTCATATATTTCACAGATATCTAATGCACACACATCTCTGTTTTCAGTACTGTATTATAGTGCATCCTGATTCCTCACTGCTGAGCACCATGTGCAGATGTCTACCTCTGTGCCAGAAAGCCCAGAGAGACACAGATTCTTGCATGTCATGTCACTGACTTGAATTTAGACTGCTTTCTGATTTTGAGTATTGTAAATTTTGAGTGTTTAATGTAAACGTGTTGGTCTTTGCTGCCACCTCCCACCAAGTGTTGTGGAGTTATGACTGTTCATCACTTCTAAATAACTGAGTCAAAGACATCCTTGGAGCAGACTAAAAATAAATTAATAAAGGCACTCAAACAAGGAGCTGGATGTTTTCAGAATGAAAGGATTGTACAGAAGGTAGGAAATTAGGGAATGGCACATTTAGCACAAGTACATACCAAATCCTAAACCTGGCATCTATGTCACTCAAAGGACATATACTAACCAAAATCATAACTTTACTTGATCAGTGGCAGGAAAGAAGTCATAGAAAGGCCTTGTAAAGTAGATACTGGAACACTTGTAGGACAAGATAGTGTCTTATCTGATTGTCAGGGAGAAAAACTTTGGTCTGGCTTCTGACTTACTAGCTTCAAAACGAAAAATTATACTCTGAAATATCTTTTTGGGATTTCCTTTTGTGACCCATGGTTTGGGGACACCACTCTAGCTCAAAACTAGCAGTGCAGCTGACCCAGGAATGCCCAGCAAGACCCTTTTCAGAAACCCAATGCAAAAGCCTTTAAAAAATTGTCAGTTTTCTTAATGGGTGTAAGATCTGTGCAAGGTTATCAAACCCTCTGCTTTAGCAGTTCCAAAGTCACTTTTCAATTACCCCATTACCCTGTCTGTAAAGAATTTGTGCCCTGTGCTTAGAAGGTATTAAATCTTTTGTGTTAATGGGCACAGCAAACACTCTGTGTTCAAAGAGTGACTCACTGCACAAGGATGTTTGGCTGTGTGTGATTATTTGCCTGTCCTGACTCTAAGTTGCTCTACTCCAGAATCCCATCAGGATGAACACCAGCATCATTCTGAAAGGAAACTCCTGCTTAGCTCTTATTCTCTGGAAAAACAAAGTGATGTTTCCCAGATATAATTCCTTATTATTTAAATTGGTTAGGTTGGGAGTTTGATATTGTACCTCCAAAAAGAAAAAGCAGTCCTGTCATCAGAAGCAGTAGGTAGGCCCTGGCAAGGATACTGATGAACCCAGTCATTCCTCCAAAAATCATCAGTATCAGGCTGAGGGGCATCAGGATGACAAATGTTCCATGCATGTCTGAAGAAAAATAAAGAACGTTAATATTTCAATATTTGATTATGGTGTCAATGGATGTACTAATAATTATTAAGTGCAGAGCCCCTGATCAGAATCAAAGCTTTTATTCTGTGCTGAATCAACAAGAAATTGGAAAACCTGTTGGGTTTTCAGTTTAAGTTGGCAGGACAAATATATGATATGGAGGAAAAGGTCACATACAGAGCAAGCCCTCACAGGATCACAGCCTGTGTTTCAAACAGAGACCACAGATATAAAGGATATGTCTGCATAGATATATTTAAGCAGTTAAACTGACTGAGCTATTAAGCCAAGCTGGATAACAGGTCATGCACTGCATACCAGGTAGGCACTGACAACCTAAATCAGAAGTAGCCCTGGTTATCACACAGATCACAGTGAGTGGTACTGTTGTCTCTGGGTGGTGAGATCCAGCCATGCTTTTGATTAAATTCTTTCTCTTCTGTCACATGTCCTCTGCTGAACAGATCTAGCAAATTGGTGACCTTTTCCTTTGTTGCAGCTGACCATCAACTAGAGGTAAATTTTCCCATCCAGCTCTGATTCTGTCTGTCATTGTTTTCTACAGCAGCTTCACTAAGTACATTAACCTATCCTGCTCGCTTCCTCCCATGCTAAATGTTTTACATTAGTCTTTCTTGATCCCTATAACATTTTAATAGCTGTGTAAACAGAGGGTTGCTATGTATTTTTTCATATCACACTGGTTTTTTCCATCATAAACCATCTTTGTGTCATTGTTCCTTCTCATGTAATCTGTCCACAACATTCAACCCAACCTTTTCTAGAATAATAACCAAGAAAAAGTAATTCCAGTATCAATTTATTTAATACCAAAGTGCTCAGAAAAAAAAATCCCTTAAAATCCATATTCTGAAGAGGTCTAGGCTTCAGTGACTCACTTAATTTCACAGAGGAATCACAATACACCATTAGCTGGTTCCCAAGGAAAAGGAATCAGTTAAGAGACCACAGGTTTTGTGTGATCAAATGATCAATTTTTTTTAAGTGATTGTAACTGCCCACTGAATTGGAAGTACTCCCTCTCTCACTGGCTAAGGATCCAGCTTATCCCCTTCAACAGCATTATAAAGATAAGACACAATTGTGTATCTCTGTTCAGTTCTAGAAGCTTGGAAGGTTAGGAAGGGTCTGCATGGGATCAAGGCAGACACTGTTAATGTCTTTTCTTGTGGAGAATGTGGTTTCAAGACATAATTATTTGTTTTATGTAGCACAGAACATGATCACAAGGAAAAACGTGGCAAATGACAAAGTTTTGGGAGGTGACCATACTGTTCTTCTGTTTCTGTTTATTTATGCTGGTATTACATTTTCGTATTCAATCCCACATATGCCCACATCAGGACCAGCTGATGCTCAAAATGACAAATTCAGCATTCTGCATTGAAGAGAGCACTTTCTCTCTTTGATTCTAAAGCTGAGGACAGTTCCCTGTGTTTTCCTTCAGCAAAAGTAGCCACAGCTGCTGTTGCTGGCTAAGAAACACAAACCTATAGCAATTCTCAGCCAAATCCATCTTCAGCTTACTGGGTAGAAAGCAGTATGTCAAAACTGTCTGCAATTCTTAGCTGAATACCAAGACGAGAAATAGCCATGGAACTCAGTTCAGCAGTTTTATATAGGTAGAAGTGGTTGTTGGGGATGTGATGTAACATGATGTGACAGAACAGAGATTTGGAACCCAATTCAGCTCTCAGATTCCAGAGAAGCAGCAGGAACAGGCTGATCTTCAGCCACATTTGTGCTTGCTGAGGGTTATTGGGCCTGATTTTGGTTCCCCACCACTGACATCCCTGTGCCCCCCTTGGTCTTGCATGTAAAAGGTGAAAAGGCCTTGAGCAGATAAAATCTGATACAATTAACATTTTAAAATTGTGAATGTAAGAATGGTACAACTCTGTCCCCAGACCTGGCTTTGCTAGGAGGGAAAAAACAGAAATAAGCTCATCACTGGCTCTATGCCTTGTGATTTTCCAGGTGTCCCTCACTGACTGCTAACAAACTACATCTCAGGACAGTAGCACCTACAGTTGCTATTTCTTTGACTTTCCTTATCATGGTGTGATTTCAGCTACTGCAACCTGAGCCAGGACAGTGGGTGAGGTAGATCAGGCTCTGAATGGAACCTCGTGAAGGAAAGGGAAAGCAAATCCATACCAGAACATCCTGGGGAGTGTCACATTACATTAATGATCTGTGGCAGTTGCATGCAACATCAGAATAACTCTGATTTTTATGCCCTCTTCAGTGAAAATAAAAGATTTAGGGATATCTCAGCTGAAACCCACAGAGCCCACTGTGACAGAGCCTCACTTTTCCTATACACAGCTGGAACTACATTTCCCATTAATCACCTGCAGCTTTTTAAAAATCAAATATTTAATGGATTGTATTTGGTTAAACAGCAGTTTTATCATCTCCAGTGTTCAAGTTCAATATCTAATACTCATTTGTCCTGTGAAATCTGCAACTGCCTGGGAAACTTATTCTAAAATGCTGCCATGGAAACCACTCGGGAATCTGAATTCATGCCATCTGGCATATGATATTATGCCATTATATTCCTTGATTAGAGGAACAGAATTAGTTTATAGAAGAACATGACTTAAAATATCTTTACTGTGTTTCTGTCCTCAATAATCATCTGTGAAAGAAGTTAAAACATTAATTTTGCAGTCATTTTAGTATTTTTTTCAATTTCTGTTGAAATACACATTGATGCATTATATATTGTACATATAATTCTTCATATTGATGAAATTAATCTAGTATTGAAAAAAAAACCACCAGCCTAAACATTTTGCACAAGAAGAGGTATGTACACTTTCCTGCAAAACAGAATTCAGTTTCCCACATCTATTGCTCAATGCCAGAGTTCCCTGTCACAAAAGGTCCAATAGTTTAGTCTTGGAAATACTGAAACAAACTCATAAACATTTAAAAAACACTCCTGGTTTTTGTAGAGAAAAAAAAGAACTAAATTGCCTGATCTGAGCTAATGAAGTTTTACATTAGCTAGCCAAAGCTGTTTTAGTAGAGATGGGACCAAATATCTGAAAGAATGACATCTGCAGTGTGTGTCCAGATCTCAGGATTTGGCAGGCACTTCTGAATTACCACCCAACACAGTTGTTGTTGAGTTGTTTGTAAAGAGAAATCTGTGGAATGAACTGGAAAAACTGAGCAGTGTCAGAAGTAACCAACTGCAAGCGGAGCAGTTTTGTTAATCATCAGTTTTGTTAATCATCCCCTGTTAACGTGCTGGAGCTTAATTGCTTCAAACCAACTTTGGATTTGTTTGCACAGCTTATAATAGCAAATAATCTCTAGAAGACTGTAATAGTCACCTCATCAGAAATACTTCAAATGGCAGCGGCTCAGAAGAGCTTAATTAAGGCCCTGTTTATCTTACCCAGCAGTTACTAAATACCCAGTCAGAAAGACAAAAGCCTCGAGCTGAAACGAAAAGCTTGGCAGCTGCTAAAACCAATGGGGCTGCTCTGGAAAGTCTTGGCAAAGCCAGGAAGAATCAGTGTATGGAGAAAGACCTACCTGCTTGTAGGGAAGAAAGGAAGGAAACAACTTGGAAAAACAACGAGCAACTGAAAAGAACGGCTGTCAGGGGCTAAATGGGAGAGTTCTGGGCTTGGACCCCCCTCCAGTTCACCAGAGAAAAGATGCTGGTGGAGGATTGCTCACAGGGTTAGGGAACTCCAGGACAATTAGCAAGCCTCTGGCCTGTGTGTTACATGTTTTGGCTTGGTGGTCTTCTCAGAAAGTCTCTGAGCTAAACTGGAAGACAAATTGCTGACAGTAGAAATAAAATGATGCTGGAGAGGGAACAGGGGACGGTGACAAGCAGGAATGGGTAGAATGATGGATGTGAGCGGTGCACTGGGGCTCCCACTCTATTGCCACGGTACCAATGACTTTGAAAACGAGAACATTCATCAGAGGTTGACACTCATTCGGTCTCAGCTGCAGGGATGCTGGAGTTATCTCAGATTTCTGTATATATTTACTGTAATATCTACTCTAAGCACCCGGCAGATGTTCACTGGGACCTCTCTGAAGGAACAGTACACTGTTGCTCAGAAACAAAGCAGATCCCTTTAGGTACACACCTACCAGATCAATTAAATTAGAATTTCTGTGTACATCATTTGGGTCTTATTTCACTTGGCCTCTGAACTAGCTCTTGCTAGATATTCCAGCCCTGTTTTCCTTCTGATAACTTCAAACCACAAGAAAAATTGCGAAGAGCTGTAAATCCCCAAGGAAAAATGTCATGGCAGCCAAATAATAGGGGATTCTTTATAACATTACAAACTGTAAAAATAAAATAAGCTCAGTAAAAATGAAGCAGGACCATGAAGAGCAGGGTAAAGTGTGAAAGCAGCTGGTTAGTGACTGTTACAGGGTCCACATGCTGTAAGGAAATCCAGACAAGTTTATCTGTACTATTAAACTAATTTTGTTGAGGAAGAAACCAAGGCAGCTGTTACATTAAAACAACTGAGGCATCAGTAACTGCCTCTGCTGCAAAGATTGTTTCCCTGCTGGAAGGACTAACTTGTCTGCAGCCTCATGTTCCAGTCACACTGAAGTTTAAAAAAGAAAAAATAAAAATACTCTTGGGAGAATACTTTAAGCAGTTGCACTGGGCAGCTGCACGCTCCAGTCTTGATTTTATATCAGGAAAAAAGATTTTCTTCCAGTCATATGTAAGTGGAAACCACATCCATTAACTGCTCATCTCTAGATGGCTCAAGAATACAGGAGAGCACTAAAAATGGACCTGTAAAAGGAAATCAATCACTGCCCATGATGTTCATGTCAATAACAAAAAAATCAGGATTGTGAGAGGCTTGTAGGTACCTGTAGGTACCTAATGCAGATGGGTTTGTGTGTCATGCAGACAGTAAAAAAGAACACCAGTTCCTCTCACATAATTTTTCATAACAGCAGCCCCAGCTCTGCAGTGCAAGTGGGACTCCACACCAGCTCAGGTGCAAAGCTAAGACTCGAGAGAAATTGTCTGGTTTTGATTAAAAATATTTACAACACTGTTCATTTTGCAGGGATTACACTGGTGCTGCCTTTACCTAAATCTATACTGGTATTCACTAATTATTAACAATACAGTCTGTGGTAAATGGAAAATATTTATATTACAAAAATACCTAAGAGCAACCTTTGCCCAGTGTAACTTCCTGGGGGGTTTTTCTGTTTGGGTTTTTTTGGTAGTGGTATTTTTTTGGTAGTTTTGGCTCTGTTTGTTTTGGTTTGGTTTTTCTTTCAAGAACTTCTTTTACAAAGCTGAAACTCTCGGGGAAAATCTTTCAGGTGATTAAATACTGCCATTTCTGCTACACACCAGCTTCCCTCTCTCTGTGTGTGATCCTCAACACTTCAATGTGATTGTGGATGCTATGTTTCTTCTACTGGAAAATGGCAAAGCTGCTCAGAACTCCTGATGCAGCTTCCTTTGAAGTGAGAGTGACACCCTTATTTTATCATTTAGTGAGAGATGGATTCAGCTCACCATGAAAAAAAGTTGCTCCTCCTGCTTGTCTTCCATAGCTGGCACAGGAGAACACACAGCAAGGAAAAATATCTGGGGGTGGTCTGATGACAGATTTCAGTTATAAGGGTGATTTTCAGAGGACTATCTTTAATCCTCCTGGCCACCAAGAGACCCTAATAACTATCTAAATTGTGAAAAGTGACTCTTTAAATCCTGTATAGGACAGAGGAAAGCGTACATCTCCAGTAAAAAGGCATTTTTAAAATGCAGAAATTTCAGGAAAACTAGTGGCAGGAAGTCTATAGTGGTATTTTTGTTCAGTCAGTGGCTGATGTTTTAAACAAATATATAACCATGTCATAATGTAATCTGTAGTAGGAAAACATTTTATACATTGTGGGCTTGAGGGAGAGAGATGGTATACACTGTATGTTCAGCTGGAGGGAGTGGAAAGAAAAGAAGTGGAAGGCTAATGCAGAGGAGGAGGCATGTTTGTGTCTAATCCAGGAGAGGAATCAGCCAAGAGTACTCCTGTGATGTGAAATCACGTCATACTGCCAGGCTTAACAGCACCTGTGTTGATTGCCTGAGTAATATTGCTGCTGGCACAGGATGTTAACTTGTACACCAAATTGTTTTAATTTACCAGGAACTCTATTTGAAGTACACAATAAACCTAAAAGGAATATGCTGTGTATGAACAGGAAAGAGATTGGAAGTGTGAAGGAAGGGAATGTGGAGGCTTTTCATTCTTTAATAAAGGGTTTTTCTTCTGGTAGTAACCAGGACTTTTGTTTCCACTTCCACCCAGCTCTTTGCACTCACATACAGACTTTCTCCCATCTTTTTGGCACTTGTGTCTGGTTAAGACGCCAAGAAGTGCATTCAAACTCTGAGGGATGTGACTGATGTGTTACTTAAGTGCCTACATCAGGAGGCAGTCCATTAAAATCTTTTTAGGAATAATCAGTGAGAAATATGTGTGTACAGCTAGATGGAATGAGATTAATCCCATGTAAATGTTCCTCACAGACACCTGCACAGGCACACGCAGAGAAGAATATGATTTTTTTGAACTAACCAGTTAAAGCTGTGCAATTAGCTTGTTTGCCCCATACAGTAACAGATGAAGAAACTACTGTAACTACACTGCAATCCATGCCCTCAGAATTTTCCTCTAAAATTCTAATTAAAATGTGTCGTAGATGAAAATGGTTTGCCTAAATATGATTCAGTGACCACAGTCAGAAAATATTTAAGAAAGAGCAGAAGGTACTATCTCAGTACTTAATGAACTTAGATATCACTCAGAAATATCTGTATTTCTTTGAAGGAAGAAGTACTGGCAAGGCAGTTCCTGTGTTCAGCTGCTGTTGCTGCAGACCTGTAGCCTCACGTCACTGAAACTGCACTGAAGCTGAACAACCAGAAAAATCAAAAAGTTCACTCTGTAGGGAATTCTAATCAAGCCTAGCAGGTTATTTCACTGAAAGTATCTTTGATTTCTTATATCATCATTTTTAGGCAGACTATGCCTGTTTATCGTAAAATCTGCAAGTGTCTTTGCAGACCTGAAGTCTTTGTCCAGGAACCCAAAAATAGTACTTGATGTGAAAGTGAGAGAAAAAAAATCTGTTAAGCTCTGAAGAGCCTGTAAACATAGTTATTAATCCAATTTTTACTCATATCCACTATTTTCTTACACTTCATGACTACCTTTGTTTCCAAGCCAACATCATTTTTATAACCAAAAGAGCTCTGTATCATCTCTGATTTTGTTTTGTTATTTCTTTGAAGAGATGCAACCTAAAATCTCCTCACCTGGGGGAAATAACAGATGTGCCTTTTGCAAATATGCACACAACTTTTGAAATGCTAACAATTTTATCCTGAAATTTTGGACCATCCCCAACGTAACAGTTGAGGTGCCCACACTTAAAATGTGATCAGTCTGGTTGGGTTCAATTAACAGTGACCCCTCAAAGGTTTAAGTGATCAAGCAGACAATCATTTTCACTGTTCCTCAGAGTTTTCAGCAACACCAAGCAGCCAAGGCCCTTTGTCTTGAGCAAGGAGAATTTAAAAAATGGTACTTTTCTACTTGAAAGCTCAGAGAGGCAACCTGGGCTGTTAGTCTTGAACCTGTCAGTATGTTTATATGGCTCTTTCAGTAGCCCAGTGGGATCTTATTCCTATTTCAGCTTCCCAGTTACAGCTGGAAGCCCCACCAGCATCAGCACCTCCCAGGCCTCCCTTCCCACATGTGCTGCACTCTCAGCTCATCATGGGATGCTGCTCCAAGAGATTGAAGACACTCCAAGCCTCTCTGGAGGATTGTTCAGGGAATGGCTGGTTTTGAGGGAAAGAGTCCCATTTTAAGACACAGGACTAATGCACATATTCTGCATGCAAGGTGGGAAGAGCCAGAGTCAGAGAGGAGAGATAAGTAAATTAAAAGGTTGTAAAAATCAAGCCCATATATGAGCATGTGTGAGCAGAGGATTGTGCAGAATATGATGCAAAGAAGCTAAATCGTCTTTTAGGAGGTGCCTGTAAGTATTTGAAAATGTTCAGTTTGGACTTTCTGAGAACATCCTGACATTGACTAATGTATCAGGAAAAAAAAAGGAAGTAAATAGAGTTAGGAGCTTAGTGGTTTTGAACACAGTGTTCTTCAAGGACTTCGAACACTGCTTTTAGTCAGTGATTTATCTTCTTAAATTCTCACTAACTTAAGCCTTTTATCAGTGCAAGGAATCTCACTGAAAGGGTAGAAAAGTAACTGCCTAAAAGATTCATTTAAATGTGTGCTTAAGCATTTTCAGTGATCAGACTCCTCTGAGGTGATTTTGACCATTTTTGCCTTTTATTTTTTAACAATTGTTTACCTTCCTGTGCCATTCCGGTCAGAAAGGTCTTGTTCCTGTGGAAGAAATTAGCTGAACTTGACATGAAATACATGGTTATTTCAAAAGTAAACCTACTCAAAGACCACAGACAGTGACAGATGTTGTACAGAAGCAGAGACAAAACACTATCTCAGAGAGTTCCCCCTCTGAATCAGAAATGAGTCCCTGTAAGTGGCCAAGGAGGAAGGGAAGGGTGGATATAAATATAAAAATAATATAAATGCTACTCACACAAAAGCTGTCTGTGTGACTCGGTGATGTTTGCATTCTTGTGCCAGAAGGGGTTTATCAAAGGGTAACACTCACTCCTCACTAACAGAGAAGGGGAAAAACAAAGAGGGAAAAATTACACTATAACATTTTTTTGCTTTTTTTTTTTTGCATGTAAGTATAATTCATATAATATTAACTGCTTTTAAAACAGTTATTCCTAGGTAGGGAAGGAAAGAAGGGGATTTTCAGTACCCAGCAATGGCTGCTTCCATGGGGCCTGACCACTGGAGTCAGCAGGGAAACATCTGCTCGATGCAGTGGGCTTGGGATACAGCTCAGGGAGAATTCCTGAAACCTGCTGCTTCTCCCCACTCCACTGGGAGCAACATCCTTTCTTGACTGTGGTGAACATTACTTACTCCTTGCTTTGAATGGTGGAATCAAAACCAAAAGTAACAAATTAACTCAATGGGGAAAATTCTGTACTATCCATATAGCATTTATAGATTAAAATCTAGAACTAGAACTATGAAACACCAAGCAAAACCAAACACAGTACAATTACCTGGTGAACTTGGTGAGTCTTTAGTCACTTACCTTTAGTTAGTATGTGATTAAGTTTACTTTAATTATTTATGGATAACCTAATTTTAATTTTAATGTTAAAAATTTCAATAAATGTTGCACATTTCAAACTAACAATGTTTATATTGCTATGTTAATAATACATAATAATAATAACAATAACTGTATTGTTTTTATATATAAACTATAGTGTTTATGTTTATGTTCTTTATGTTCTTTACATTATTATTTATTATTTTAATGGCTTTAACCCAGAACTTTTGCCCCTTAATTCCCCGAGCCAAATGAAAAGACATCTCCTTCCTCCTAAATGGTTAACGTTTATTAAATTAGCTCGGATTAAAAGTTAATGCATAATAAGGTTACAGCAGCAGAAAAGTCGCTCTCCCCATGTCTCCCTCGGCAGGTAACACGGGGGGGTATCGACAAGGCTCTGCCCACGGATGCCGGGGCCCTCCGGACATCCGGACCCCGCAACTGGAACCTCACAGAGAGATCCCCGCAGCTGGATCCCCGCGGCTGGATCCCTGTAGCTGGACCCTGCAGCTGGATGCCCGCAGCTGGATCCCCGCAGCTGGACCCTCACAGTTGGATCCCCGCAGCTGGATCCACAGCTGGACCCCCGCAGCTGGACCCCCGCAGCTGGATGCCCGCAGCTGGATCCACAGCTGGATCCCCGCAGCTGGACCTCCGCAACTGGACCCTCACAGCTGGATCCCCAAAGCTGGATCCCCAAAGCTGGATGGCCGCAGCTGGATCCACAGCTGGATGGCCGCAGCTGGATCCGCAGCTGGATGGCCGCAGCTGGATCCGCAGCTGGATGGCCGCTCCGCCCGCCCCACTCACCGCGGCAGGTCCGCCACAGCCCCGAGTGCGAGCTGAGCGCGTCCGAGCCGTTCCGGGACGCGTCCAGCTTGGAGGCATCGATGATGTACCAGAAGTCCGTCGCGATGGCCACCACGAGGAAGACGAAGCTGGAAAGTCCCACCAGGGCCACGAAGAGGGTGAGGGCGCCCAAGTTCACCCTCATGCTGATGTGGCCGCCGCCGCCCCGCCTCGGCCGGACCCGCCGGCCGCGCAGGTTGCGCGCCCCGAGCCCCGCCCCGCTCCCTGCGCGCCCCGCGGGCGGAGCGGGGACCTCGCCCGGCACAGAGGGGTCCCCCCTGCCCCCGACCCCGGGTACCTGTCCCGACCCGCCTGCGCATCAGTGGCGGCGCTGAGCAGGTGGGCTCTGCCCCCCCAGGAAGGGATACCTGCGAGAACACGCGGGGATGGGGATCCTGATCCTCCCTTATTCCAAACGCCGCGGTCCTGGAGGGGAGGAGGGAGCAGTGACAGTGCTGGTGTTCCTGCAGCCTTTCCCGTGTACTTACAACAGATTTCCTCTTGCTCTTTGCCTTCCAGATGCCGAGCTCAAAAGGACAGATCTAACCTAATTTGAAAGGCAGTGTGAGAGAAGACAGCAGCATGGAAATTGCTACCTGATGCAGGGATGTCTGTACCCTGCTTGGGATCATTTTCCTGTCAGAAAGTCACTGATGGAGGGAAGGACACAAGTAGTACACCCTCTTCCAGAAACTATAGTTATGTAGTTTCCAAGGGCACAGCTGTGTTCTATGTGTGAGCCCCTAAGCCACACTTCACCTATCCCACAGAAATGTTGGATAACAAGGTAAATTGCAGTAACAGAACCTTGATTTTAAACCTGCAGACCCTTTGCTCTGGAGTTTTACTGTGCCACTTTCCTGGCATAAAGATACAATACAGGTAGGGTCAATGGGACATCAGGTTTTCTTCCTTGTAATTCACTTCAGACCTTCCAGAGAATTGCTAAGTAACTCCCAATAATTAAAAAAGTCATTCTCATTTATTTTCTGGCATGGACACTGGGCAGAATGTGTGACATCATTACCCATCCATGGCAACAAACTATCAGGAACCAGTAGGGCTTCAGCAGTAGGATCAATTAAAAGCAAAATATTTCTTGAGAGAGTGTGTTTATTTAAACACAGTAATCATCAGCACTACAGACCACATCTTGCTCTGCAAAAGTACTGAAAGGTGTATACTGCTGGGAATACAATAGTCTTTCCATTCAGGAATACACTGTTAAGCAGATATAGCATTACTCTGAGCTTTTGCCATCTCTTTCTCACACCTCCAAGTTGCATTTGTAACACATGAAAGTGCCTGTGTAGTTCTACAAACTAAGCACCTGTTGCCTCCTTGTAATTGTGATGTTTGGGTGATACAAAGTTAATGAAGCAAAGTGAAAATGTTTAATTAGACTAAGTAATGCAGTAAGACAAAATGAAGAAGCCTTGGGGCACGAGTCCTAACGGGGATCCCAAGCTTGTCTCTTTGTTCCAACTATATTTGCAGTGGGTATTGTCTATCTTAACTTTAGCAAGGCTTTTGACATTGTCTCTCGCAACATCCTCATAGGCAAACTCATTTTTGGTGTTGGCAACCATAGTCACTTGGGTAGACATTCACCTGATATGTTACATACATGCCTCTCTTAGAAAAATTTGTGTACAAATCAGCTTGTGTTGGACATGGGAACTCATAACTGGGTGATGTCAAAGACATGGAAGTTATTGTTCAGAATAAGCTCCTGGAGATAAATGTTATTGTCAAAGGGTATGAAAGTAGCTAACAAAAAAGAAATCAATGTGGATTTTAGCTCTGTGAAGTTAATGTTACTGCTTTTTAATTCAGTTTTCTTGTTGGCAAGGCAGTATTATTCTTAACCTCCCCTGGGAAGGAGAAATGGATATTCAGGAAATGTGGAAACAAAAAAGCTGACAGCTGCAGTTGTCCTTTTTAATAATTTTTCCATTATTCCCCTCATGCACTTTTCAACCTCAAGCAGTTATTTAGGAAGATTCTTCACTGATTTATCATGTAGACCAACAGTCATTTTATTCACTGTGTTGCCTGACATTTTTCTGTGCTGCCTGATGGTTTAAGCGACTTGTGTCACATACTTTGCATACCAGTACACCAGTTAACAACATGAAGTGAAAACTATTTCAGCATATCTCCTTTCAACAGCCCCAGTACAGTAGGATTAAAATTATGAGGACTGATATATTTTTTCTGCCTGAGAGCCTTCAGTTTCTTTTTTGGTTTACTTTTTTGTTTGTTTGTTTGGGGTTTTGGGGGGTTTTGTTTGCTTGTTTGCTTTTTGGGTTTGTTTTTTTTTGTTTGTTTGGGGTTTTTTTCAGACATATAATGTCTACTAGAAAAGAAGACAAGCAAAGAGACAGTACACTACATGCTGGAAAGATAGCATGAGCTTTCAGGGATGCCCTACTGCACAGTACAAGAGCAAGGATGTGGTGGTGTATTAATTCATCTGTTATTCCTGTCTGCTTAGAATCAGCTATGTTCTCTTATCTAATCTTAAGGAATTCGATTTTTCCCTGGGATACATATTTTTCAGGATTGTCTGTATAGTTTTCTGAGCCTCCTGCAGCAGTGCTGGTATTCAAGAACTGTCTAACAATACCCTTTGGGCCATGGGACTGTGGGAAAACCATGTGGAAAGGAGTAATTTAACTCCTCTAATACCTGGTATGATGTGACTAAGGGATACTCTTGAGTTGCTTTCTTTAAGCAAATTGACAGTTCACATGGCTGTGGGGAAGATAGGAAATGTAGCTGAGGTGCATCCTTTAAAAAAAAAGAGGTAGGTGTCCGGAATTTGCTGCCAAAGCCCTCTTGTGTGTAGTACAGAAACTGCATCTCCCTAAACAACTATCATTATCACCCACATTACAATGCCTGCAGCCGGACCGGCTCCTTTATGACCTTCTGCAGCCACAAGATGTTCCTGCTTTGCCTAATAATTATGCATATTGTGAAACTACGTAGCAGCATTTTGTAGAAAAGAAATTATGGCAGCTCCATTTCTCACATAATGTACCTTTGTGTTCAAAAGCTCCCGTGTAGTGCAGTGAAACACTCACCCTTTAGCTCCTCTAGCAATACTTAGTCTGTGTGCCAGTAAGTGTCTCCTGCTGCAAACAGGCAGGATTTTCCAACAAATAAAAACTGCTTTTCCCGCAGATTGTTAGCACTTTACAGCAATGGGAACATGCCAGCAGAGAGAGACTGCAGTAATAATTTATGTGGCAGTGTATCACCATGGGAAGTAAAATAATGTTCTGCTCTTTCACAGGAGCCAGATAAAAGGAGAACAAATCTCCAAAGCGTTTTTTGACAGATGTTCATCCAACAGAATTCCCTACACAAACACCAAGGAGAGAACTGAATGGCTTGCTGTGTTTTCCATTCCATTGCCACTCAACACTCTTGGCTGTAAAAACAGGGAAAGATTACTTCATTCTTTTAATAATTCTTAGCCTTTGTTGAAGGATGCAGATCATGAGAAGCAGATACCCAGAAACAGATACAGACTATGCATTACATTCCATGGGGGTTTTCGAACACTGACTCTTTAATTCTTCCTTCCCCACAAGCATCTATTTAAGAAAAATACAAGCATCATCTGTAGCAAAGGTCCAAAATGTAGATAGTAACTCCGTGAGTTAGACAAATTCCTGTTATTAAATCCTTCCAAAGCACTCTGGTTATGGTGCTTCTGCTCAACACCTAACTCAGTCTTCTGTTCATTTCACCTAATTAAAAACTGCAGAATTAAGCAACTACCCCAAAACAAGTGAGTACATACTGCTGCTGCTCCAGCTAATCTTACGGCGATAGTAGAATTCTGACATTATCTGGACTAAGGAAGAAACGCCTATTTGCCTCCGCAGAGTGTTCTTCCATTTTTGCTTTCGAGCCATTTAGATGTTTTTGCACGGAAAACGCGACACGGCGAGAGATGCTAAAACCAATCAATAAAGGAACGCGATAAGGAACGTGGGTTCAAACCGCGGAAACCACTCCTGCGGAACCTTTAGCGCAAGGCTGCTGGCGCTGAGTTGTTTTTTTTCACCCGGGTTTCGCGGGTAACTCTCCGATTAAGAACCCCCCCATCGCGGGAGGCACCGCCCGGGCCCGCGGGGGCCGCCGGGCAGCGGCGTCAGCGGAAGGGGCGGACGGAGCCGCTGCCGCGGCAGCGACCGAGGGAGGTGCTGGTAGAGCCGGGAGAGGTGGGATCTGCCCGCGGAGGGGACACGGGACAGGCGGGACCTGTCCCCCCACAGCCCGGGTCCGGAGGAGCGGGAGCCCGGCGCGTCCCCGGCGGCGGGAGCGCTGCGGTCTGTGCCCCGCGGCAGCTCCTGCGCCGGGTCCCGCGGGCAAAGGGCGGCTCGGGAGGGGGAGCGGGTCTTGCAGAGGTTGATAGAGCTACATAACTGCAGGTACAGAGGCTGCCTGTAAAGCTCGGAGCGTTTTAAGCGTGTGTATGTGTGTCCAGCAGAGAGCGAAGTTGGTCAAGGGTCAGGAGCATCTCTCTTAGGAGCGGGGCCTCTTCAGCCTGGAGAAGGGGTGTCTGAGAGGCGACCTTAGGAATGTCTGTCAGTGTCTGAAGGGTGGGTGTCAAAGGATGGACCAGGTGTCTAATAGGAGGTATCTAAGGTGAAGGGAGCTGTCAGAGGATGGACCAGACTCTGCTCGGTGGTGCTGAGCAATAGGACAGCAGGCATCGGGCAAGAACTGATGCCCAGGAAATTCCCTCTGAACATAAGGAAGAAGTTCTTTCCTGTGCAGTGACCGAGCACTGAAACAGATCACCCAGAGAGGGCGGGGAGTCTCCCTCCCTGTAGATACTTCAGAATCATCTGGATGCAAACCTGTGCCGTGTGCTCTGGGATGACGCTGCTGGAGCAGGGAGGTTGGACCAGGTGACCCACTGTGGTCCCTTCCAACCTGACCCATTCTGTGATCTTGTTCAAGAACAATCAGATAACAGAAAATTTAGCATAATCTTCCAAGGCATTAATGCCAACATAGGAAATGGCATCAGCAGTTTTTGAGGAGTGTAAGGGGTGCTCATAGCTGGTGAGACTCGAGTGTCTTTGCTGACTAAATTCATGTAGTGCTTGATGATTTGCATGT